TGTGGTAATTTGGAAACATCCTTCTGCGAAAAAATAATAAAAAAGAGGGGGAAATCACCTATTACGAAAAGTTTCCAAAAGGTATGCAAAAATTTCTGGAAACTCATGTATCGATATACTGGACCTGCTTTGATATTTTCTCCAAGTGGTTGTTAAAAACATGGATTGGACAGTAAGGTGTTATCCAGAGCTACCTGATAATTCGTAGAAAAGTAAGCCCTATTAGTGTAATCATCGTCTGCGAGCGATACACTGGTAGAGTTTTTTCACCATTCCCTTTAACAGCTGTGTGGTAAGGTGTTTCGCTATTCTTAAGCTCGACCGGGCTTCATCGAGTTTGAAGCTTCGGTCTGTTGTGTGTTCTTTTACCTAACAGGCCTTGGAATCCAACATTCATCGAGTACGCTTATGCAGCTGATGGTTAACGGTGCTTCTGTATTAGCTTACCGTTTTGGTGATCATTTTAATTAATGACTCCTGATTGGTTTGTCAGACAAACGTCAGCTAACCTAAAGAAAGCTAATGCCGGCTCACAAAACACCTAAACAAAAGGATACCCGCTGGGGATCGTCAACTCTATTCAGAATGAACATTGTCATCGTTCCTTGGAATTTCTGTGGACTCCAAAATAATGTAAATCCTGTAAGTGGAAACAGTGAACAAACCGTCACAAAAACTGCTTCTCAACAGTTAGCACTGTGAATTTTGTGGGCGGGGGCCATACTACGCATTTTATGGGCTTTGATTATCTTCTGTACAGGTTGTAGTGAGATGTTTAGCTTTCGTCCTACCAGTGGACTCCCTCCACGTTAGAGTCCCGGGGCCTCGTGGATTGCACATGGCTGGTAATATTCAAGATGAGTGAATCAGCCGTACAGAATTGCTTGGTTCCTAGGACAACAGGCTGACTTTAATTGCAGAATGAATACTCATCCAAAAATTCCAAAATCTAAATTTTCGTACATTTAAAAGTTGCGCAGAATAACTCCTGAAAGTAAAGATAATGAAGTTAAGATTTATCTCGTCTTTTGCCCGCCAACTGTCTCTAGATATTGACACTCACTGAAATGCTCAACTTTGTTTGCTGTTTTATACCATAGGTGTTGCGATGGGTCCGTAAATGATCCTTGCGCATCTTTTTACAAAGACTGCTTTCAGCTATAACGAATAATGACTTTAAAGGAGTGAGCTTGAGTGAAAAGAATTAGAGCCCTGCGAGCAACGAATGATGTCTGCTATTTTAAAAAATATGGCACTGGCAACCTAGTATTGTGCCAGAGAACAGACTCCAGGAAACGCCAAAACACATTTTGGAAAATGCCTAGCAATCAAACTACAGATAAAATTCATGTGGCCTGCTCACTCAAAGGCTGCTTGTTAGCGTACCATAACTGATACTTCCATGTCTCATTTCAAGATATGCAGCACCCGTAACATCTGTGTCATCTATGGCAGCTAGTAAGTCATACGCACACCAAGGACGTCAGGTTCAAACCGCAAATTGATTCCCACAGTAATCAAAACTAACTGAACAAATCTCACCGTGTTTTCCATCGTACTTGACTGTCTTGTTGGAACCGAAACTGCACAACGTTTCTTTCGGCCTTCAACTAGAATAAAGTGTACACTTTGTTTCTTGTTTAGAACATATATTTAGAACACCCTGTAGTCAGTGTGGCTTACGATATCTTCTCCTATGCTTCAGTAGCTGTCTCCATTATTATCATTTATTTTCGAAGAGCATGGTCACAAACATAAAAAGTGCGTGCAAGCGATGAATGCGAAAGAGTAACAGGAGAATATGGGAGAAAAGAGAGAAACGTCTCATGCGAAATCATGCCAAGGACAGTGCCAGTCTGATGAGGTGAATCCCAAAGTATGTAAAGATTTTGGTATGGGAGCACGCGTCTAAGGACCAACAACCAAAGAAAGGACAAACCATGGTGAATACTCTTCAAGGCGCAGTGTACGCTAGCACAGTCAAGACTCGCACATCAGGCACAAAATGTCTGTCATACTGGTGCCACGCATAAAAGTGTGATAAGTAAGAGCCCACAATGGCAAGCAAACACAAGTCACTGACTGCGACCTTAGGAGGTCCCAGTCCAATAACAGCCTTAGCGGATTGAGGAAAGCAGATCCCTCGATAAGAGATGATCATCGGTTGGTGAACCAAAAAGTCGATATAACAACCGATGGCATGTAGGGCTGAGATTATGGCGAGGGAATGTTCATCAACACCATACTTCTGCTTCTTCTCATTCCACACTATCACTCCACGCCCATCCGAGACTATGCTGACGTACAGCCGCTGATGCTACTGGTCGCGTGAGAAGTTTTACTGATCACTTTCAGGTAGTGTCGTTGCTCATAAAATTAGCAGCCAGACTACATATCTGCGGACGACCACCACTGAAAACTGTATGTATTACCAGGGAAGCATTCAGGCATACAGCCGAACCCTGTAAATGTCATAAACGTCTCAGTTTACCTGCTGTCCTAAGGAAGCCAAGTTTGTCTCACCCATTTATGTAACGTTTGATGCACCATTTTCTCGTAGTTTCACCTTTGTTTGTGAGCAAGGCGAAAGGTCCTTACCCAGATGGCAGTGTAAAAACTCCATCTCGCAGCTTTTTGAGGGACCTAAAACAATGGGCAAATAGTGAATCGCGGATTCTTCAGATGACGTGAGGCCGGCTGGACCTCCCATTAGTTACTGAGATTGCGCAAGCTGATCAACCTTATGCAAATTAATCAAAAGGACTTGAAGTATTGACTCCAGTGGAGGCTCGCGTTCCCTCCACTCCGTCTAAGTTCAGTGAGTCAGCTGCAGTCCCGACTCACCAACTCTGACAGATTAGGTTCATTGTGTGCTTCCATTTCGTATTCGGGAACCAGTTGATCGGATAAGCACGTATAGAAGCACGCTACCTTGAATTCCACACCTACACAAAACTGATTATTCATCAAAATTGCAACTAACGTCTCCAAAAAATGAGAAGTGATCACTCATCACAATCTGGTGACTTGAAATCTTTTTTCGTTTATTCTGGCCCCGGGGACGGTGACATCCCCTAATTTCAGAGTGTTATAAATGTATATATAAGTATATGTATATGGTTTCTAGTATCAAGGAGACATCCACAGCTGAGTTGCGCTAAACAGCTATATACATCGAGTTCCTGAGTTTTATTCTTCTAGCTACTCGTCTGCTGCACTGGGTAGATTTCGCTTTTTGTGCCAAAGACCTTATCAAACGTTCGTCGAAAGCAGATGAACCGTAACCTTTATATGTGATACCAACTCACTAATCGCCCTGCAGATTGTTTCCTCTTCACTCAGAGCCGTGTTGTGAAGTCGCCCAAACCGTCTAAATCTGACCAAATTCCGTACATATTGTTGCAACGTCCGCATCACCTAAAGTTGGAGGTGATTTGCTGGGTGGTCGAAACTCAGAAGGTATGTCACTGGTTGTGAATGCATGGATATTTGGACAAAGCAATCACAGAAACGCGATATTTTGTAGCTGCATTAGTGACATCCAAAAACAGACAAATATCAGTTGTCCGCTGCACTCTTACGACTATTGGTAAATACAATGTTTTTCTACGCACTACTACGCTTACCAATAACGCACTGATGATGTCACCTCGATTGGTGATGAAACGTTTGCAATCGAACAGCCAAGCTCAGCGAACAAGCCAAAGACCACCAAATACATTGTTTTTGAGAAATTCCACAGCTAAGAACATTTTTGATTTGGTAGAATAACGATCGAGATGGGACGTAAGCCCCAATATTTTACACTAAAACGCTACCGTTCTGTTCGAATTCGTATATGATTAGTTTTAGAGACTCCAGATGTGCAATTGGTATTGCTTTCTTGTTGTCGACTTTACTACAAGGGTTGTATCTAACTGGCTGCTCCACATTTTTCAACTAGCAGTCTCCAATGTGACTTAAACGACATAAGATGCTTATTAGTCTGAAAATGATCAACAGATATAACCATCACTGGTCTTTCCTCGAACATCCAATTCACAGCCAAGTTAAGCTGATGCTCCGTGAAACTCATTATAAATAAAGAGGAATACAAAAGATGAATAAAATTCACCTAACAGTGTCAGTTAAGTGGAACAATAATTTGAAGTGAGCCCTGCTCAACCCACCTTCCAGCTTTGGTAACAATCATTTCCGTCCCTAGAGCGTCAAACATATCCCACAACTGTTTGTTGTCCAGGCAAACTTCTGCCGTCTGCAGGAGCGGATGGAGCCCACCGTTTGTTGTAGGGTCGTTCGGGAGTCGGTATGGTTTTTCGTTCACACATTTAACACACAATTTGGCAAAAGTTTGCACTATTTTGGTCATCTTGGAACTCATGCCAGTTTGCGTGGTTCGATGAATGACCGGGCAGTCTGGTTTGCGGAAGACTGTGATCAAACGATCTGACTCAACTATTCTTGGGAATCCGGTTCCGTGTTCTGTGTTTAGTGACACCTTGTTTGAATGAGAATGCTCCCAAGCAGAAGCCTCACAAATACAGGGTATCTCAGGTGCCAAGAATTTCGTGGAGACTATGTTGGACCTCAAGTTTTCTTCGATGTTCTCCCCATAGGCTTGATGGCCAGATTTGCCTGGCACTTGGTAACTCAAAGTCTGTTCCATGTGTTCCTGTCAGGTCGAAGCCTTCCAAATCGAAATACCTACTAAACCATGCACTGTTTCAAATATATTATTTGTGACACTGTTTTTTCTTACCCGCACATGTGAAGGGGGTGTTGACTGATGGGCAGAAAACCGTGTTCTACTCTTCCTTAAAACACAACGCACAGCATCCCCTGATTGGCTATCAAACGATGCGCACTTGTTTGTGTGCCTGCACACTTCTAGGGTTCTACTTCAAATTACGTCCGCAAACATCCGTCGGGTGTCTAAAAAACATCTGTTTAGCTTGCACCGCATGCGAGGTTGAATTTAGGGGTTTTGTTTGCTTCACTTCTCACATGCAAGTCATCCTGGTAAACTCGTCAGCAGATTCCAAACCGAAGAGCTCCTGACCTTTCTGAACTGTGTGCTTTCTTAAATCCTCTAGCTGCAACAAACATCAAACTAGAAGCGTTTTTCAACAAAGATTAAGAAAACTGCTGGTGAAACGAAGATGGTCTTCGCTGCGGAGTTGTTTATTAGAAAATGCCAACTGGACAAGGGCGGACTATTGGACAGGGAAGCAAAACTCTCATATGCATCTTGTTTACAAAAACTGAATATCCATCCTCACTTTGAACGCGTCTTCCTGAACTTTTCTGGGTATTAATTGACTGCTTCTCAAATGCTACAAAGCGACTCCACAAATTCCGTAATAGATCTCACTTTTCAAGAGACGCAAAGCGGAGTTATGAGAAAACATACTACTCTCAAGCCTCCCCCATCAGTCGTATCATCGTTATACTAGTAGTCGGTCTTGTCCAGCCATCTTCCATTTTCTGATGTTGAGTGAACGAAAAGTAAATATAAAGCCGTCGTTTTCGGAAAAGTTTGGGAAATAGTTGGTAGATTTGCTCAGCAATGTTCTGTTCATCGGTCCGTTTTGTGTACTTTGAACTTATCAATTTAGTGGAAAGCAATATAAATAGCTTTTCGGTCTCAAATTTGATACATTTCGGTTTCCAGGTGACGTGTCATACTGTGATGTGTCAGACTGTTGCACTTGAACAGCCGTTCGTCATTAACTAGATAAAAGTATAATTAAGTTATCCATTTTGTTCTCATTTCCTGTTTAATAATTCGGAAGCTACTGCTCAGTCTACAATTTCAAAGAGCCTCAGTTTCTCTTGATATGTGTGGCGAAATAATTCGACAAAATTGTTTAGACATATTTAAAACGAACAGCCCTTTTATTCTAGGAAAACTGCAGGTAATTCAAAATGGAAACGATACAGTTTGTCCAAGTTACAGTCTCACTTGATAAGCGTAACCTCATCCGTGACTGAACTGAGAAATTGAATCATACTATAGTATCTGTTTCCGCAATAGGTAGTTTCATGAAATTTCCTAAAAAATTCATACATATGGAGAGTTTAGTGGAAAAAATGAACATCGTTAGGAGAACCGTTTCTCAGAGAACCTTGTTCATCCAACAAAACTCTAGATTTAATGAACCCTTTTAATCTTCTGAGGATGAGAATCTGCACAAAAGCGCAACAGCGATGTCGTCTGTCTTATGAAAGCGTCATTAAATATTGATCAGCCACGTTCACTGTGTACGAATTTGAAAACAACCGCAAAACCTGCGTTGATTGTCGCAGTCCCTAAGGGTTTACGCAATTCGGCACACTCTTAGTGACGCAGGCTCAGTTTACATGTGATTATCATTTGCTAATGACTTATCAGCAGTGACAGTTGGGCGTGGACTTGTAGCTGCTCATCTTATCAGTAGTCCGTCTGATTTGTCGTGACCAGACGACCTAATTTAACCAAAGAGGAAGCGTCATGGCCTTATTTTTGAGTTTACCACAAATACAGGCCGTATTGAGATTTGAACTCATTCTACACTGTATTGAGGTATCATTCTCCCAAGCATGTTTACAGTGTAGTAAACTGAGATTATGTTGACTAGTTGCCCCAATTTTTTGCAAAAACATCTGGTTGTCGAGCTGCTGACGGATTATTGACACTGCACGACACTAAGAATGCAAGTTCGTTTGAGAGTTATTCGCAATCTATCTAGTTGAATATTCAAGCCATTTCAGCACCCTAAGCCGACTGCAGCCTCGCGTGAGCTCATCTTTGTGTTGACTCGCAAACAGGCGGTTAATGACAGCTCAGGCATACTTTTCGTCGGCTGGGACCAAGTTTGTTGTCCAAACCATTTTACAGCATCCGGTTTCCTTTCCAAATATTCCCTTCAAAACCAATGGCTTACACATTCCCGGTCATTCCACAGCTGGTTCATTCTGATATGCAGCTTGCACCATATGTTTACTCGTCCTTAAGGCCAGTATCTGTGGATGATGTTTGGTGCTTGAATTAGTGTCCTTTATTATATGTATCGTCTCCAGAACTCTAATCTAACCTTGAGAACATGCACAGTCTAGAATAAACCATGACAAATCTGTGGATGAATCAGTCGGTAAGACGATCCTTCACAACCGTCAGCGAATGCCATTCACACATGACCTCCGCCACATAGCGAAGTGTAAAAATTCCGGCTGAACCGAATATTTAAAGACCGGAAATCAAGTTGCATGGCCTTTATCTTGTCGAAGAAACTTATGGCTATCTTGGAGATATTTTAGAGTAGACAATCATCGGTCCCAGATTTTTATTAGCTAATATTCAACAACGGCACTAGGTGGTCAGATGAGGCCCGTATGCCACAGATTTTTTGAATAACTCTTCTATCGTTCAATTTATTGTTCAGTCATTCTTTTTATTTTATGCATTTCAACATGGTTGGCTCCTTAGAGTGAACCAACCGTACGGCAGATTCCCTCTCAGGAGGGGCATCTACCATCGACCCCCCACAACAGAAACAACCGTACTTATTTGGACTTACTTTTAAACTGTTTCATACTATGGTGCGGAGACGATTTTCTTTTATATATGCAACAGAAACTCTAAACAAAACATACAAAATGTAAGTGAATCCCTTGTAGCTGTATTTTTATTAACCTTAAAACACGTAACTTGGTGACTTACGATGCCCTATTTTCCACGCACAGTTAAGAAAAGCGCAGCAAAAATAATACAGGTCGATCTTTTTGACGAAATGAGTGATTGCGATTGTAGAAAATGAATTTCATTTGCACAAGTAGAGACACTATAAATCTCCTTTACAATGGCTACGACGGGTCTGCGAAAACTTTCCCCAATTAGAGCATCTGGTGCATCGTTGCTTACTGCATTTATTTATTTTATGGCATGGGAAAATGCAACTAGCCAGTATGCAAAAGTTACATCGAATAGTAATCAACTACGTACAAAGTAAACATTCATTTATATTCCTGAGGTATCTCAACCACAAGCCATATATTTGGTTGGACGATAGCTATGATAAACGCAGCAAAACAGTTGCGATAATATGTTTCGATACTGATACTCCTTCCGCCAATTGGTCGTCGTCGACGGGTAAATTTTCGTAGGCTTGTCACGTAAACCAGCTGCTGTTTAGTTGCAAGCAATCTAGTTTATGTTAAAGCAAATCTAGATTGAGGTCAAATGTACTGTTCAAAGTGGACACGTACATGTTCCAACTGGTCCAAAGTCAGAGGTTCTCAGTATTATCGAAAGGATTTTTGTACAAAAACAAATGTGTTCGAATAACAGAATAAGACGGTGGCAACCCGGTTTAAGGCGCATTTTCAAAACTGCGAAGCCAAACTCAAAACCAGGGGCTCGGATTTAAAGTTGCAGTTGAATATGATGAACATAAGCAACAAGACCACATAGTTATTCTAAACAAAACTGGAATTTTCCTTGTGCGAAGTGCTTTTTCCTATGTGTCAAATCTCACTCTCATTCACGAGAAGATTCGCAAGTGGAGACGGTCCTTGAGCAAGGCACTGCTCTGTTACTGCTCCCCCTTTAAGAACTCAAACCTCTCGGGCCTACATTACACTCAGATCCCCAGAGGTACTGTTTTTGTCTAGTCCACAGAAGACAAGCATATTCTTCCAGCGAAGTGTCTGCCGATTCTTTCCTTTCTGTGATTCTTTGGTAGTCGGTCAGATGGCCGACACGCACACTACCAAAGCAGCTGCGATAAGCAGCAACGCAATAACAGACTGTAATTCCTTAAGACTGTCCCAGTGGACTTAGTTGTTATATCTATTCTGTGACAGGTGTCAAGGCTGCAATGTTCTTATTCACTGTTGCACAGCTGTACACAAGAGTTTGTAAGGATTTATTGGATATGGCGTTTGCTTAGGCACATACAGCGAAAATTGTAGAATAGGTTTAAAATCAATACAACTAGAATAGAGCACGGCCACTACCCAGTGGATGTGTTGGGGTCTGTAATCAACCAAGTTTAGGTCGGTGATTCGTGAAAAATGGAATTGAGTTTACTGAGTAAAAAACTTTCACAATGTTTATTTCTGTTGAGAAGGCCGTCTTTCTTTCGGCAAATACACTCATTTGCCTGCCAGTTTAATTTTTAAGAGAGATTCTCGCAAAATTCGGCTGAATTCCTCGTTTGTGGTGTCCTAAATATAGTACCAAATGAAACGTGAGACATCCTGCTGCAGCACATTCAGTTGAAGAACATCACAAAAAAGCGACTCGTTGGGAATCATTCCTCGTTTGTGGTGTCCTAAATATAGTACCAAATGAAACGTGAGACATCCTGCTGCAGCACATTCAGTTGAAGAACATCACAAACAAGCGACTCAGTTGGGAATCAGGTGAGTCTCCTTCCAAAACAAATCGTTAGGCGAATGAGCGTTTTTTTCGTAATTCATGCTAATTCGGGCTCAAGCAGAACATAAATTTGAAGGACTGTACCCAAATAATGAGTCCGAAGATGGGCGTAAGCGTTTGCCGACCGCCGAAAGGTTTTTAGCCAGCTTATGAGTTGTGTGTTTCCACAGAACGTATGCGTAAGTTATGTGAAGCTCACACACCTAGCATGACGAAACAGTCTCGAACTGGAGTGGTTCAATGGTTTTGTATTGCCTCGCATATACTGATTACACCACCGCCCTAAAACTGGGCTGGATGAATTGCTGAAGATCCCCAATAAGAGCAAAATCACTGCTATGGGTTGATCATTATTTCAGCACAGATTGATTCAGGATACAAGGCGGAAATTCTCAAATAGGACTAACTAGGTTCTTAGATAGTTCCTGCACCAACCCACCTTAACCAACATATATTGACAAAGCTGCAGCGCAGATTTATTTTTATCGTTGGTTTGGTTTTGGCCCTTTGTATGGAATAGTTTTTCCGGGTTTGACTGGTTGCAAAGGGCACTGCATACGTCTCCATTTATTCCCTTTTATGTGTTGGGAAACGCAGCTGCATGTTTCCGAGGACTCCATCGGAACACCCATTAAAACCTGCTGACTGCAAGTAAGAAGAAATAATGTAAGGACG